TTTACAATTTTGATTGGCTAAACTAAACATGCATGATCGGGATCATCATTTCTTTATTTGGGACGGTCCTACCTGTACGGCAGCACATAATAGCGATGGAAGTTTAATCAACTATTTACCTCGATCTATATACCCTTACTAATATGGCATACCCCCTATATTGAGGTACCCTGGGTACAAAATTAAGTTATAAAAATACCCGGGGTACCTGGGTCTGATTTTTACGGTACAACTTGTTCTTTCCAATTATGTGATTATTGCAAAGAAGTTCAAGATAATCAAATATTTAAGGTATTATATAAATTATTATACAGTATAGTTTTATTTTAATATATAATTTAATTAAAAAAAATTTTAATAAAAGAATGCGATATCAAAGCAAGAAAAGCCAAAAATAAAAAAAATTTATGCCAAAGATTCAACTTCGCAGCAATCTAGTAGCAAAATACATCTATAATCAAGATATCAAAGATCTTTTAAGTATAGTAAATAATACCAATACAAATAATGAAAAATGTTTTTGGATAAAATTTGCAGAAATAGGCCAAAAAGGTGGCTTTAACAACAAAAAAGTATTTGAAGAACTTTGCCAAGTAATGGTACAAATTTCTGATCGTGAACAATATAAAAAAGGATTTCAAAATCTTAAATATTCAGATCAATTTTCTGACTTTTTAGTTATTCTTGCAAGTCTTAGTTCATGGGCATATAATATTTTTAGGCAAAATTTTGCAGGTCGTGCTATTCAAATATAAGATTACATTGCACATACTCACCATTTGCACTTCATAATCTTTGAAAACGTAGTACAAGTTAAAAGACTTGTTGATACAATCAAATATACTGGTCCAATTATTGTGATGTCAGACAATACTAAACTTAAAGAAAGACTTGGATTTTCATCTCTTTATAGCTGTATTGTTGGTTCGACACTTTCAACAGAATCAACTAAAGTTTCTTCATATGAAGATATATACCAAATTATTGATACGATTAAGTTACATAATGCTATTGCTTCTCAAGTCCGTGTTTATCTATTGCAGGTAAAAAAAAATCTTTATTAACAAAAATTTTTTTGTATATATAAAAATATATTTATTCGTTTATTCATTATTATACATACAGTAGATTTCTCTTTCAAAATTTCCTCCTTGTGTTATTGCAATGATTGCAAATAAAGGAAAAGAAATAGCAGCAAATATTTTTGAACTACATAAAAAGTTACTTGATATGGTAGCACATCTTCAGCTTCCAATTCTTGGATTTGGTGCTGATAGGGCATCTGCAGAATTTAATGCACAAAACCAACTTATACAAGTAGAAACATGTGAAAGATTAATTTTTAAAGATAAACTTTATAGTATGTAAATATTAAATAATGCATAACGCTTTTAATAATAATTATTTTAACTAAATTTATTTCAGATATTAATTTTAGTTGCTTTATTTATCCTGATGTCGGTCCTATCATTCAGATTACAGATCCTCTACATACAAAGAAGGACTGTCATAATGCACTTTTTTCTGGTGCACGTTTGTTGTCTCTTGAAAAGTACTCAGCATGCTATGATCAAATTCTTGAATTAAGAAAAAACCCTCAAAGTATTCTTTACAAAAAGGATGTTGAAAATGTTGATCGCCAAGATGATAGAGCTGCTTACCAATTATTTTGCTCCTCACTTCTCAATCAAGTTATTAATAAAAACAATGAAATCGTTACAGAAAATTATAGGCTATTTGTTTTTTTGTTTGTTTTTGGTAAATACTAATTTAAATTTCAAATTTTCATTTAATTTTTACTATTAACTAAATAAATAATTTTTGTAGGAGAATTAATTGACGCATTTCAAAATCGTAACATTTCACCTTTTGAAAGATGCAAAATGGTTATATTGAGGTTTTTTTTCTTAAACCATTGGAAAAGTCATATACAAACATATACACAAAATTATCCGGAATTTATTAGTATTAAAAAAAACTTTATAGCACCGGTAATATTTAATATTTTAATGAGTCTTCCCAAATCTATGGTATTTGAATTTTTTTTTTTTTTTTTTATAAATCATTCTATGATTATCTATTTATTATGTAACTTTTGATTGTAGATTCTTCTAATAATTGCCTACCGAGATTTCTACCTCCAATATCCCTTTATGCCATGGATGTATGGCTCAGAGGGATATGAACATTTTTTTGGGTTAGCTCACCAGTTTCTTCCTGATTTTTCATTCAATGATTTAATCGCATTAGTGCCAAAGATTGTATGCTTGTATAAGGCTTATTCCTCAGGTTCTCTCAGATCAGAAAAAGAAAAAACAACAGGTATTGATTAATACATATAATTATAAAAATTATAAAATAAAAATAAAATAAAAACTTATTATTTTAATCATATAGGATACATTTCACATTATTCAGATTCAAGTATCACAGAAAACTTAGAAATCTTGCGAGATTGGCCTTCGAATGATGATATTAAAGGAGCAATAAATCATGCTTACGAACAAGTCACTGCACTTGCAAAAGATGTTCTTGGGATGATGCTAACTACTAAAATTTGTAGTTTTATAACTATTATGAAAGAAAGTAAAACCGAAATTAGAAATGAAACTAAAAACCAACTTATTGATTTACAAGAATTTAATGATTCGCAAAAATCTAGTAGCTCACAATCTGATAATTTTTTTATATCTGTAGCAGCCACAGAAGTTAATATCTAGAATAGGTTAAATGTGTTGAATGAAGTAAGTATTGCTTGTGCTTTATAGCATTATGCTATCTTTATATTTTACTTTTATTAAAAATCAAAAATTTTACAAAGATTATACATTTAATTGATGATCCTTCAGTCAACTGAAGAATGATCATAGTAAAATGTGACTCAGATTACTATATAAATTTACT